CGAGTCACGAAAACTGCATCCGCCCGAGCGAAATTACCCGATACACGACCGCGAAATGCTCGCAATCGTGCATGCGTTCAAAGTGTGGCGCTGCTACTTGACCGGCGCAGACGTGACAGTACGGACAGACCACTGATCACTACAGTACCTCCGCGCACAGCCCCACCTCAACCCACGACAGATTCGGTGGCTCGATTTCCTCGAGTCAAACTTCCACTACACAGTCACCTATAAAAAAGGAGCCTCGAACATCGCCGACGCACTGACCCGCCCCACTGCCCAGATCCACGCGATACTACTCGCCTAGACCAGCCCGCTACTGACATTATTAATTACCCACGGATATCAAACGGACCCATTCTTCACAGGAGGAAACTTGCAGCAGTTCGCAGCAGCCAAGGGAGTCTATTACGTAAAAGCCGGGACCGACCACATCTGGGTACCAGGGTACACACTGCTACGGGAATTACTGTTACAGTAGGCACACAACGGGGCTACCTCGGGACATTTCGGGGTAGACAAAAACACGGCAGCAGCTGCAGCGGTATTATTACTGGCCCGAAATGTTGAGTGACGTGCAGCGACACGTGGCATCGTGTCCCACTTGCCAGATCATGAAGTCAACACGGAAGCGGTCGGCGGGACAGTTGCAGCCAATCCCACCTCCAGAGCGTACTTGGCAGAAGGTAACAATGGACTTCGTCACGGGGTTGTCGGCCGGGGCGAGTGGAAATGACGCGATCCTGGTCGTCGTCGATCGACTGACGAAAATGGCACACTTCGCAGCCTGCAAAAAATCAATCACAGCCGAAGAAGAAACAGCCCGCCTCTTCATCTCTACCGTCGTTCGACTGCACGGGATACCAGCATCAATCATCAGCGACAGAGACACGAATTCACCAGCAACTTCTGGCGGAACCTGTGGCAGCAGTTCGGCACGCGACTACAGATTAGTTCATCGTACCACCCCGAAACAGACGGACAGACAGAACGGACAAATCAGACCATGGAACAACTCATCCGGGCCACGTGCGACGACCCAAACACGTGGGAACAACAACTGCCCCTCATCGAATTCGCATACAACAACGCCCCATCCGCCACGACCCAACAGTCACCGTTTTACCTAAATTATGGACAAGACCCAACAGTACCCATGACCCCGAATCCCGAGAACCCGGTTCCACGCGCGCAACAGTTCGCCGAAATATTACAAGCAGCACGGACCATGTCAGTAGAGCTACACTGTGAGATCCCCGATCGATCCTTGGGGGGGTTACAGGCGCGGTTGCCTGGGGGTTATGGCGCACTGACCCGCTACTGAAACAAGCCCTTTTATCCCAATGGTCTAGTGGTTGGGATTCTGACATGGTATCAGAGCGGTCTCGAGTTCGAATCCCGGTGTATGCATATGTTGGCAGTTGCCACTGTGCTCAGTCCTGGGCCTCCCAGTGTGGGGGGGTGTCAGTAGAGCTACACTGTGAGATCCCCGATCGATCCTTGGGGGGTTACAGGCGCGGTTGCCTGGGGGTTATGGGCGCATTGACCCGCTACTGAAACAAGCCCTTTTATCCCAATGGTCTAGTGGTTGGGATTCTGACAGACCAGGGCAGCAGACGCAATTAAAAAAGCTAACATCATCGCTAAACGCAACGCCGACCGCCACCGCAGACCTGTCACTTACCAGCCCGACGACTTAGTTTTGCTCGACACCCAAAATCTCCGACTGCCCATCACCTCGAAACTCCGCCCCCGATACTGCGGGCCATTTCGCATAAGCCACATTCTTACACCTGTCACCGCCCACCTCCTCCTCCCTGCTGACTGGTACGTCAGCCCCTCGTTCCACGTCAGCCTGCTTCGCCCTTACGTCCCATCCACGAGCCAACTGCCACGCGATCGCCCAGCCAGCATGACAAGACCACCGACTGAACCAATCATCACCCCGACAAAATCCTGAGTCACCAAGTTCGCGACCCTCGAGGAGCCCGAAGGATCGAGTTCTAACTTCGCTGGAAGGACCGTACACCCACCGAAGACAATTGGGTTCCCCTGGACAGAATCGAAAACCACCCCGTCCTCACCGAGTATCTGCGCAGCTGGAATTTCAGGGATGTACACACACTTTCGTAAGGAGGATCTCTTTAAGGGGGGGGGGGGGGGGGGGGGGGGGGGGGTAGTGTAAGGAAAATCCATTTTTCCTTACTTCGCGTCCCTGCTCAACGCGTACATCACTGTAGCACCACAGTCAGCACCGTTACCACTCGCAATCCTCGCATCGACAATCCGCCCGCCATCTTCGCACGTCGCACCCCGACCTCACGGCTCGACGGGTAACCCGCGCTCCGGGCCTCTGCCTCGACACTTTTCCCAACCTTAGTCCAAGGCCCGTCGCGCGACAACCACAGTCCATTACCGTTACCACTGTATTTTCGCTATATATTCTTCGCCCATGCCTTCGCTCATTGTACTCTTGCTTCGATAGTGCAATTCTCGTTCGTTCACTCAATTGCACTCGTAACAGGGGGTTTATATGTAGATTTTTAGTCAGCAAGTTAAACCGAAACATGTTACCTACCGTATGATGTGTGTAATGAATACAAATTCATTACTGTAGAGGCTGCTCCTAGCGAGGACGACCCCGAGCACTTCGCGTCAGTTTCGAGGTTCGGCCTACACTTCGGCCCGAACCACCCCGAGTCGCCCCGCACCAATCGCGACACTTCCAAACCCATCCACGTCCCGAGGTCCTCGCCTACCACGGTTTTGACCCTATAAATGCATGCCTCTTTATCATTCTTGACATGCTGGATTCGACATCCTTTTTATAAAGTCTTCCGCGCACTCTAGTAGTACATCTCAACACCTGGTATCAGAGCCTAAGTTCCTAGGTTCCCCGTGTTTAGAGTGTATACCCTCGGGTGGGGGGGGGGGGGGGGGACAGGGAAGGATGCCGTGGTGACAGGAGCAACGCAGTAGCCGGCCAGGAGAAACGGATAGTTGCTCCTAGCGACCATGTTTTTACGGGCGCTCCTGCTGCACCGACGGATCCTTGCCCTCGACGCTCGAGATGGACCGTGGCCTCCCTCCCCCCGGGTGGCGGACAGCTTTTGCTGTCGTCGCAGTTAATGCGTGAGTTAACAGTATTCGTTTCGGCATTTTCAGAGTTAATTTGTGTGGCAGCTGACGTCGACAGGATCTCCGTCAGTGCACGTCTGAAGATGTCGGAAGCAAGATCGTCGTGCGAGTGCGTCGGCATGTGGTCGACAACTGCGCGCGACAATTTCGGAACGGATTGCATGCAGCACGTGGCGTCGAGCATCTTCGTCACATCGCGCATCAGTCTGTTGGAGGTCTTCGGCAAGTGACGATCGTGGTCACTGTGCACGAAGATTTCGGGTGGCAGCACGTGGAAAACGACTACTGTGCGAGCAGCCAGGCGCATGGTGATTTGCGTCAGAAAATGCAGCGGCGCGGAGTGACGGCGTGACAACTACCCGAAGAAAGCGGGGGTCTACCGTCGTTCCAGTCCGGGTGTGGCCGGTGTGGCTACAGGAGGGTGCGTCGTTGGCGTTTTCGGCAGGAGCGGCACAGTGTGGGACGGAAGTTATTTTCAAACCGCCGATTAGTTCGGAAAAAAGCCGCCTACGACTAGACTGTTTTCGTTAGGGTCACTTCTGCGCCTTCAACAAAGTCGACCGAAATCTTCGGAGCAACAGCAGCAGCCGACACTGTACTTCAGGCGGCACAGATTCCCCCTGATCAAGGGAAGTTGTGTCGCAGACGGGGCAGTACAGTACACCGACGAGGACAACGTGTCAGATTTATATGACATAGTTGCTGTAGGCTATAGTGGGGTAGCACATATGGGGTACAGGGTTTCTAGGGTTGTATTTGTACCCAATCTTTCCTTAGTCATCCCCATCCCTGTTCACTTGTTTCACATGGTATAGAGCGGGTCCTTCCTAAGGACCGTTTTTTTAGGGCCCCCACCGAAGCGCGCCCCGAGGCGCGCATTTTTTTTAGCGACCCCTCGGGTCGCCATTTCCCTCGCGGCCCCGCTGCCCCTCCTGATCGCGGCCCCGCCGCCTGCTTGACGCGGCCCCGCCGCCTCCACTGACGCGGCCCCGCCGCCGGCTCTGACGCGGCCCTGCCGCCCGCTACGTCGCGGCCCTGCCGCTTGCTTGACGCGGCCCCGCCGCCTCCACTGACGCGGCCCCGCTGCCCCTCCTGATCGCGGCCCCGCCGCCTGCTTGACGCGGCCCCGCCGCCTCCACTGACGCGGCCCCGCCGCCGGCTCTGACGCGGCCCTGCCGCCGCTACGTCGCGGCCCCGCCGCCTGCTTGACGCGGCCCCGCCGCCTCCACTGACGCGGCCCCGCCGCCGGCTCTGATGCGGCCCTGCCGGCCCGCCGCCGCTGCACCTGACGGCCCACCGCTGCACCTGCCGGCCCGCCGCTGCACCCTACGGCCCGCCGCTGCACCCTACGGCCCGCCGCCTCACCTGACGGCCCCGCCGCTGCACCCTACGGCCCGCCGCTGCACCCTACGGCCCGCCGCCTCACCTGACGGCCCCGCCGCTGCGCCTGCCGGCCCGCCGCTGCACCCTACGGCCCGCCCGCTGCACCCAGCGGCCCGCCGCTTCACCTGACGGCCCAGCCGCTGCACCTGCCGGCCCGCCGCTCCACCCTACGGCCCGCCGCTGCACCCAGCGGCCCGCCGCTTCACCTGACGGCCCCGCCGCTGCACTACCGCCCCGCCGCTGCACCTGCCGGCCCGCCGCTGCACCGGTCGACCCGCCGCTGCACCTGCCGGCCCGCCGCTGCACCTGACGGCCCCACCCCTGCATCTTTCGCCCGAGCCGCCCGAGCCGCCGAGTCGCCCGAGCCGCCCAGCAGTCGAGCCGCCCGAGCCGCCCGAGCCGCCCGAGCCCTCCCTGCACTGCCCTGTCTGGTGAGCACTGAGCTTTACTCTTCGCACTGCCCTCTCTCTACTGCTGTCATGGCTACCCCCAGTGTCCTCGCCTTTGACGCTGAGGGCAGAGCCATTGACTTTGACGTGTGGGTAGACGACCTACTGCTTTTCCTACAGTGCGACAGAGCTGACGGACTCTCTCTCTTTGATCTCACTTCTGGTGCCTCTCCCGCCCCTGCTGCTACTGAGGATGCCACTGTTCGCTCACAGTGGGCCACACGCGATGCTGCTGCACGTCTTGCTGTGCGTCGCTACCTCCCTCCCGCTGAGCGTGCGCACTTTGGGTCGTACAAGAGTGCTAAGACCTTGTACGACGCCGTTATCGCACGCTACTCCACCCCTGCCACTGCTGCACTGAGCCGCCTCATGTTACCGTACCTCTTTCCCGACCTTGCTGCTTTTGCCACTGTCGCCGACCTCATTACCCACCTGCGCACTAGTGACGCTCGCTTCCGCGCTGCACTTCCTGCTGAGTTCTGCGCCAAGACCCCCCCCCCCCCAGTACTTCACTCTCTACTACATTGTCACCCGCCTCCCTGACTCCCTTCGCGGAGTCAGGGACGACCTACTCGCAGTCTGCCCCACCACTCTCACTGTCGAGATCCTCGAGAAGTCCCTCCTCGCAGCCGAGAAGAGCATTCTCGCTGTAGGGGCCTCTCGTGGTGACCCGCGCACCCCCATCTTTGAGGGGTGTTCCCCCTCCCCCCTCCTGCCCTCTGTCGCCTCTACTGCTACGGCCGACCTTGTTGGTTTTGAGTCGGTCGGAGCGGCGTCTGCCCCCAGCGGGAGACGTCGCTCTGGCAAGAGCAAGGGGGGCAGGGGCGGTGGTGGAGGCGGCGGGGGCGGTGGAGGCGGAGGTAGAGGCAGCGGCGGAGGTGAGGGTGGTAGCGGGAGTAGTGGCGGGAGTGGAGGTGTCGGCGGAGGCAGTGGAGGCGGGGGCGGCAGCGGCGGTGGTAGTGGGGGTGGAGGCGGAGGCGGCGGTGGCGGCGGCGACGGTGGGAGTGGCGGTGGCGGTGGAGGTGGTGGCGGCGGCGGCGGAGGAGGCGGCGGAGGTCGTGGCGCGCCGAGGAGGAGTGGCTCCGGTGGTGGTCAGCGCCAGCAGCAGCAGCGTGGTCAGGAGACCCTCTCCCGCAGCAGCTCCGTGAGTGGTACTCTGCGGGTCAGCGGGGTGGGGGTACTGGTCCGTGCACTTACGTCCTGCGCACTGGCGACCGTGCGGGTGAGCAGTGTGGCGGTCCACACTCCACCCAGCGTTGCTTCGGCCGCCTGACTGACGCTTGGCGCCGCCAGTTTCCTGACGCCTCTGAGATCCCTCGCTGGGACCAGCTGTCTAGGGCTGGAGTAGCTATCTTTGATCTTGACTTTGATGCTATTCTTGCTGCTATGTATGCTGTGACTATTAGTGAGGAGGGTGACTGTTACCGGTGTTTCCCGCCCGACCCGGGCATTGGTACTGCGGCTCCAGGTGCTGTTGAGGCTGCTGCTCCAGGTGCTGGTGAGGCTGTTGCTCTAGGTGCCAGTGAGTCTGAGTCCTCAGGTGCTGGTGAGTCTGCTCTCTCAGGTACTGTGTCGACTTCACCCTCTCTCACTTTCACTCTTGACTCCGGGGCGTCTCGCTCCTTCTTTCGAGACCGCACCACACTCACGCCGCTTAGTCGGCCAGTGGCGGTCTCCTTGGCAGACCCCTCTGGGGGTCCTGTTCTGGCTCGCTACTCCACTGTCCTGCCGTGCCCTGCGGTCCCGTCTGGCGCCCTGTCCGGTCTCTACCTCCCCTCGTTCTCTACGAACTTGGTGGCGGGTGCTGACCTACAGGATGCAGGGGTTGACCAGTTCACCCCTGCGCGCCGACGAGTCACCCACTGCACGGACGCGGACACAGGTCGACACCTGACCACATTCACACGTGGTCCAGGGTCGAGCCTGTACACACTCACTGTTCCGTCTCCTCCTCCTGCGTCTGGTCAGGTAGCTGCGTCGGGTCAGGTGTTTGCTGCAGCGTCCAGGTCTGGTCCTGAGTCTGCCCCCTGCTCGTGTCGCCTCCTGTCCCACGAGACCCTCCTGTGGCACCACAGGATGGGTCACCCCTCCCTGCCTCGTCTCCGGGGCATGGCCTCTCGCCTTCTTGTCTCTGGCCTTCCCGGTCCCTCCCTCCCCTTCCTCCGGGGCCTGGCCCTCCCTGTGTCCCCTGTGTCGAGGGTCGCCTGCGGGCTACCCCTCACTCCTCCCCGTTCCCTCCGACGGAGGCCCCGATGCAGACGCTTCACATGGACGTGTGGGGCCCAGCCCGCGTCCGTGGACAGGGTCACGAGCGCTACTTCCTGCTGGTGGTTGACGACTACACGCGTTACACCTCAGTCTTCCCCTTGCGCAGCAAGGGTGAGGTCACTGAGGTGTTGATCTACTGGATCCGCGCAGCTCGTCTCCAGCTCAGGAAGAGCTTCGGCTCAGACTTTCCTGTTTTCCGCCTGCACTCGGACAGAGGCGGAGAGTTCTCCTCCGGCCTTCTGCGAGCCTACTGTCGGGAACGAGGCATCCGCCAGACCTTCACGCTTCCGGACTCTCCACAGCAGAATGGGATTGCTGAGCGCCGCATCGGCATTGTCATGGACGTCGCCCGTACGTCCATGGTGCATGCGGCTGCCCCCCATTTTCTGTGGCCGTTTGCGGTTCGGTACGCCGCGCATCAGATCAACCTTCACCCCAGGGTCTCTCGGCCCGCGATGTCCCCAGTCTTGATGTGGACGGGGAAGGTTGGCGATGCGTCGGCGTTCCGTGTCTGGGGATCTCGGGCGTTTGTCCGCGACTTGTCTGCGGACAAGCTGTCCCCTCGTGCTGCTCCCTGTGTCTTCCTTGGCTTCCCCCTGACGCCCCAGGGTGGCAGTTCTACCACCCCTCCTCTCGTCGTGTTCTGTCCTCCCAGGACGTCACGTTCGACGAGTCAGTCCCCTTCTACCGCCTCTTCCCCTACCGCACTCCTTCCCTCCCCCCTCCACCGGACTTCCTTGTGCCGGTTTCCCCCCCGGTAGACCCCTCCCCCTCAGGTTCCTGCTCCCTCAGGTGTGTCCCAGGTAGACGCCGTTGACCCGGTCGAGGTTACTGGTGACTCTGGTGCTGCTGCGGGTGCTGGGCCTGGGGGTGCTGCCTCTGGGGGTGTTGTGCGCGGGGGTGCGGGGCCTGGAGGTGCTGCTACTGGGGGTGCTGAGCCTGGGGGTGCTGGGCCTGAGGGTGCTACTGCGGAGGGTGCTGAGCCTGGGGGTGCTGAGCCTGGGGGTGCTGAGCCTGGGGGTGCTGAGTCTGGAGCTGCTGCGCCTGGGGGTGCTGCGTCTGGAGCTGCTGAGCCTGGGGTTTCTCCTGCTGCTGCGTCTCGCCGGGAGCCCCTCTCTCCACAGGAGCTGCGCGAGTGGTTTGCTCGCCGCTGGAGGCATGCTGCTGGAGCTGGAGCTTTTTCGGCAGTCGAGGGTGCTGGTCCTGCCGGTCCCGGAGCTGCTGGGCCTGCGGGTCCTACTGGAGCTGGAGCCGCTGAGGGTGTTGGTGCTGAGACAGCTGCTGTCTGTCCTGGCGGTGGTTCTGCTGCTGGTGCTGCTGGAGGTCCTGCTGCTGGAGGTGCTGGTGGCGCTGGTGCTGTCGCTGAGGGTGCTGGTGCTGTACCTGCTGAGTCTGGAGCTGCCGCGCGGCCTCGGCCGTACTTCGTTCCGCTCCTGCAGCAGGTTCTTGGTCTTTCTCCTCGGTAGAGTGTCCACAGCCTGTCCAGTCGCAGTCCCTGTTGGAGCCTTCCTCTCCACTGCCTGCTCCCTCTCCTTACACTGGTCCTACTGGAGGTCTTGCTGAGCGTCGTGAGCCTGCGTCTCGTCCTGCGTCGCCTGTTCGTGCTGCTCGCACTAGTGGTCGCAGTTCGCGTCAGCGTCCTCCTCCTGTCCCTGGCACGCACCGGATGTCTCTGCGTCCGTCCACTGCTCCTCTGCGTGCCCCTTTGCCTTCTCCTCCTGAGTCCTCTCTTCCTGCGCTTGCCGACCCTGAGTCGGACTCCCTTCGTGCTGCCAGTCCTACTGTCACGCGTCTGCTTGCTACTGTCGTCACTGACCCCTCTTTTGAGTCCACTGCTGCGTCTGCTCTTGTCGCTGAGCTTGTCGACTTTGCTGCTCGGTGTCGTCTGGACTACGCTGCTAGTCTTGTTGCTGAGTCTGCGTCTGTCTGTCCTCCGTCCGTCGGGGGTGAGAGTGCTCTTGGCACGGACGTCCTAGAGGACAGGCAGGAGGAGTTACAGTGTCTGGCTGCTGCTTCACCTCATCTCGCGTCTGTACTGCTTGCTCCTGAGGGAGACCCGGATGCACTAGACATCCCGACTCCGCGCTCTTACGCGGAGGCCGTAGAGGGTCCCTACTCGTCTCAGTGGCAGGCAGCTATGGATGCAGAGATGGCTTCCTGGAAGTCCACAGGCACCTACGTTGACGCAGTTCCCCCTCCTGGGGCGAACATCGTCAGTGGCATGTGGATCTTCAGGGTGAAGCGGCCGCCGGGCTCTCCACCTGTCTTCAAGGCGCGGTACGTTGCTCGTGGCTTCAGTCAGCGGCAGGGAGTTGACTACTTTCAGACCTTCTCTCCCACCCCGAAGATGACCACTCTTCGGGTGCTGCTGCACATAGCCGCTCAGCGCGACTACGAGCTTCACTCTCTCACCTTCAGCACTGCGTTCCTGCAGGGTAGCCTGCACGAGGAGATCTGGCTGCGCCGTCCACCTGGCTTCACTGGGACTTTCCCTCCTGGCACCCAGTGGAGCCTCCGACGGCCAGTCTACGGTCTCCGCCAGGCACCGCGTGAGTGGCACGACACACTGAGGACTACGCTTGCGGCTCTTGGGTTTGCTCCTTCTACTGCTGACCCGTCGCTGTTTCTGCGCACCGACACTTCTCTGCCGCCGTTCTACATCCTTGTGTACGTCGACGACTTGGTCTTTGCCACAGCGGACACTGCTGGACTCGCCTACGTGAAGTCCGAGCTGCTGAAGAGACACACGTGCACAGACCTGGGTGAACTGCGCAGCTACCTTGGCTTGCAGATCACTCGGGACAGAGCACGCCGCACCATTACCTTGACTCAGTCACACATGGTGCAGCAGGTCCTTCAGCGCTTCGGCTTCACGTACTCCTCGCCTCAGGCCACTCCTCTGTCTACTCGCCACTCGCTCTCAGCTCTGCCTTCGGATGAGTCCGTAGAGTCGAGTGGCCCGTACCCAGAGCTTGTTGGCTGCCTCATGTACCTGATGACCTGCGCACGACCTGACCTTGCATACCCTCTGAGCATTCTTGCACGCTATGTTGCTCCTGGGAGACACCGACCAGAGCACATGGCTGCAGCGAAGAGGGTGTTGCGCTACCTGTGCAGTACGTCGGGCATGGGGCTAGTGCTTGGAGGGCGGAGTCCAGTGGTCCTTACAGGGCACGCGGACGCTTCTTGGGCTGACGACCAGGCTACGCAGCGGTCGTCACAGGGTTACACCTTCAGTCTTGGTTCCGGCTCTGTCTCGTGGCGGGCTACTCGCTCGTCTTCGGTTCTCAGCTCCAGTTGTGAGGCTGAGATCTACGCTGGGGCCATGGCTGCACAGGAGCTTCGCTGGCTCACCTACCTGCTGACTGACCTTGGAGAGCCGCCTCGTTCTCCTCCAGTGCTGTACGTAGACAACAAGGCCATGCTGGCCTTGTGTCGAGAGCAGCGTCTGGAGCACAGAACGAAGCACATTGCTCTTCGCTACTTCCTTGCTCGTGAGCTGCAGCAGCGTGGACAGTTGCGGCTTGCGTACGTGGCCTCTGAGGCCAACACTGCTGATGTGTTCACCAAGGCACTCGCGCCTTGTGACCATCAGCGCCTCTGCACCCAGCTGGGTCTTGTGCCTGTCTTGCCTCACTTGCTCTCCTCTTGACTTCACTTGTACTGTGACATATATATACCTGCTCTTGCTTGTCTAGTTTTATATATATGTCTGTACTCCTGCATGTGAACTGGCCTCTGGCCCTGCTCTTGTGCTCGGACTGTGTGGTGACGTTGTGATCCACCCTGAGCTTGCTCTGCTTTGCTTTACTTGACCGGTCTTGTGACCCCTTGTTCTCCCCCACTTTGCCTATGGGGGTGTGTCAGATTTATATGACAT